AAGGTGTTGGGGAGGAAGGAGGAAGATCTCCCCCTGGCCCATCCCTTTCTGCTCTGGAAAAGAAATCTTTCGCCGTGGACGTCAAACAACAGTACGTTTTTCCACCACCAATAGTACTCCTCTTATGGTAACTTTTCCAGGATCTTGATGATCTTGTTTTACAAACAGAACGAGAAGAACTACAACTCAATCCACTAAGAGCTAAGAAGGCTCCTGACATGTAAAATGCTGGAGGGTACCATCCGAAACTGTCCTTTACGAACCCTGCGAGAGAAAAATCCAAAAATAATTCAAAATGCTCAACTTCAGTACCCTCTCATTAGAAGATGCAAAGCGCTTACAACGAGCCCTTGGGTCCCTTTTTCAGCTTCTGTGCGGGCAGTCCATGTGATTCTGCTTAAATTTTAAAAGTAACAGTTTACTTCCTTTTCCGACTGGAATTTTGATCGAAATCGAGTTCTGCTCAACTTAAACCTTGAGACAATTTTTTTTTTGCGTTTTCATAGAATTTGTCTCTTTCGCCTTCTTTCTAATCTTTTCAAACTTCTCGGCAAGTGGGCTTGCCAGACAGCTTGACCTATGTGTTTCGCCTCACCCAGACTTACGCGCGGTGCGCTAACATCATTTTATCTTTTCTCCGCTGATTTTTCCGACTCGTACAGATCATTTTCCTTAAACGACTGCTAGAAACTTGCTTTATAACAACAAAAATACTGCAATGTAAGCAATTTCAGTCGCTGAGCGTTTGTCAATGTGATTTTATTTCAAATGTGTAAATTTGGTTGAGATCATCTTTGTGAAAGTTTCTTTACGTGGTGCAGCATTTGATAACATATCATCAGTCAATTATTCTCGAAAAAAATAACCCAGTCGTGATCACAATTCTGAATTTTTCAACGACTGCGTCTCGAAAAAAGCCGGTTTCTACTTTCTATCGATGATTTTATTACGACGCAGATCGAAAAGGGAAACCATTTCGGTCGCAAACTGAATGTTTTAGTGGTAAACTGTAATATAATTTCAATTGTCAGGGTTTTGGAGTTTTTCTACCTCCCCAAGAGCTACCACTGCGAAGACCTTCTGCGAGGAAGTCTATGATCCGTGCTAAGCCCACTCGGTGCACTTTGACCGTGGGAGAAAGGAGAAAACGTACCTGGGCCAATCCGAAAAAAAAAAAAACGGCGAGTGGAAAACCTTGCTCCATGCCCACAACTCATGCGAAAAAAAAATGTTAAAACTGACAAATAAGAACATAAGTCCTCCCCTCCTTCACTCCTTTCGTGCTCTGTCTGGAAAGGCAGACGTCGCAGATCTCATTCTAACGCAATACAGAGGGAGAGTGTTGCGTGACTACCTTTACAGTGGACACGAGAGAACAAGTGAAGGAGGTACGTAAGAGTTGCACAACAGTGCACACGTTACATACCAATGATGTAAACTTCAGATGTCTCTATATGAGTTACTGTTCCACCGCTGTCTACTCGTGTTGCGATATTTTTCTTTCCCTGCTCGTCGCCTGTGATGTCGGAACATTCCACAATCGCTTAAAAAAAGGACAGAGAGTTCTTTGGACCACGACAGGCGTTAATATATGGTGTACGATTATCATTTTATGCTCTCTGCTGATAAAGACTTTCAGAGGGATTTGAGTCGTTTTGAAACGCGATCAGAGGATATTTATGTGGTTAGTTTTCCAAAATCAGGTAAGGCTCTAGATCAAGAGTGGATCACGTTAGTTATGGCAAGTTAAACACGGTTAAAGTTTTACGCAACCAATAATTATGCATGGAATCTTTCGCAGTCATCGATAAGAAGCTTGCATATGTTTACAACCGAGCGAATAAATGCGTACAACGAAGAACAATTTTCACAACCGACTGAGTAAGTGGCCATCGTAAGGATTTTACAGAGCTGCCGTTCCGAAAATTCGTTCTTTGCTCGAACGAGGGAATCAGCTTTAGGAATTCTTCAGGGTGGCAAATTTACAATATCAACTCATTTGATAAATTCAAATTATTTCATAATGCCCTCCTCCTACGCAGTTCCTCAATTTCTTCAGAAACCTTCCCCCTTTATCCATACACTGATTCTCCATCGCTAGTCGCACGAATTTGTGTTTTAAATCTTCGTACGAGAATAGACACGTAATTAGATATTATGCAAAATAGATGATATGCCCACTCCTTTTACACTTTGTTAAATCCAGCACTAATGTAATAAGGAGGGGGAGTGTTGCGTGACGAATCTAACGACAATCACTTTTGGAACAAGATAAGGAAGGTACTGGGACGAATAAGTCGCGCAATACTGCAGACGTTACCTACCAATGATGTCGGAACATTTCACAGTCATCCAAGAAAAGGAAGGAGAGTTCTTTGGACCACGACAAACGCTGATTCATGGCGTACGATTATCAATCAACGCGCCCAGCATTGATAAGGATATTGAGAGGGACTTGACTCGTTTTGAAACCCGTTCAGACCATATTTTTGTGGTCAGTTTTCCAAAATCAGGTAAGGCTATAGATCGATCCTTTCGATTGGCCACTTTGCTCCTCTTTGTAACCGATTTCTTTCACAGTGCAGTCTTTTGAGTGCTGATTTATTTGTAAATAGGGAAAATTTCGGCAAAAAAAAAATGCAATTTTGTCCATAAGACGTCTACAACACATACCATTTTTTAATCATTGTTTAGCCCTTTTAAAACACGTGACTTCATAGCTTAAAAGGTCCATAGGGAGAGTACGTAAAACATCATGATTTTTAAAACAAACCGAATCACTTCGTACAACTGATAGAGTAGCTCATGTTTACAACTGACCAAATTAGTGCGTGCAAGAAATGCAAACCGCAGACAACGAGATCTATCCTGAACTAAACTTTTTTTTCCTTTTTTCAGGAACAACCTGGGTGCAAGAAATTGTCTGGCAAATATTCAACGATGGAAAAATCAGCGAAGAAAGTGTACAAAGTCGTTATCTCAATTTGGAAAAAAGTCAGCTCTTCGATAGGCCTGGAGACGAGTCAGACCTGCAGAAGGTCTCCGTGACTTCTCGGCCCAGTCCCCGCTTAATTAAGTCGCATCTTCCTTATCA